TTGTAAATATCTGGATGTGCCAATTGGGGGTAATTGTAGAAGTATCGCTATGTGGAGACTTCTCATTGACTCATTTAAGAAGAAACTTGCAAGTTGGAAAAGCAGGTTCATTTCTCTTGATGAAAGGATCACATTCTTTAATTCTGAGCTATCTAGCCTCCTAGTGTTCACCATGTTTGTCCATTTGCTTCCAAAAGGTTTGATACTCTCACTTGATAAAAATACATAGAAATTTTCTTTAGGGCAGGTGGGGAGGATAGTAGGAAGATTAATTGGGTTTGTTGGAAGAATGTATGTAGAAGCAAAATGAAGGGTGGGTTAGGTGTTAGGGGTGTAAGAAAGTTTAATCTAGGACTATTAGGAGAATGGTGGAGTAGGTTGGTGGGGTTGAGGAAGGATTTCTATGCAAGGTAACCTAAGAAAATATGGATGCAAGGGAGGTAATTGGCTTAATTGTATTGAAGAGGGTAGTCGAAGGTGGCCTTTATGGTGGGGGGATCTATGTCAGTTAGACCGTATGGATCCTAGAGTGCTAGTTGGCTTTCGGATGGCTTTAGACCTAGATTAAAGAAGGGTAATTCTATTAGTTTTTGGAAGGATTTATGGATAGGTGATAGGCCCTTAGCTAACAAATTCCCAAGATTATTTTTGAATTCCACAGACAAAACAAAGAGCATTTCTCAAATGGGATATTGGAACAATGGAAATTGGACTTGGTCATTATATTGGAGGAGACCTATCTTCTCTTGGGAGGAAAACTCGATGTTGGAGCTATGGAATCTACTGAAGTCAACCCAACCAACCAAGGACAAAAAGACTATATAGTGGAGGCATGATGATGGTATCTACTCAATTAAATCAGGTATTATGCCCGCTCTAAAAATTAAAGAGAGAGTAGGAACTAGATGTATGAAAGAGTTTGGTATAGACTTGTTCCCATAAAAATATGTGCTTTTGTGTGGAAAGTTCTACAAGACAAAATCCCTTTGAAGCTGAATTTGTATAAAAAAAGGCGTAATTTCATATTTTAGCCTTGCTACATGTAGCTTCTGTAGTGAGATCATTAAAGATATAAATCATTCATTTCTTCATTGTAAAATTGCATATTCAGTGTGGTCTAAATGTCTTCAATGGTGGACTAGCTCAGTAAGGGCTGACAATTGTTATGCATCCTTTGGGCAACATTTATCCTTTTTTTAAAGATGTAAATGTCAAGGTAGGATGGGATGTGGTATGGTTTGCAAAAATTGGTCTTTATGGGCTGCTAGGAATGAAAGAATTTTCAAAAATCATAAACAGGATTCAATAGGATTTTTGAACTTGTACAGTTGTGGATGTTCCATTGGATAAAAAGCATATCACTAAGGTATTCTTTTAATATATGTGATTGGATTTTGGACCCTGTGGAATGCTTGAAAGATAAATGAAGCAAATAAATTGGCATTGTTTTAGGAATGGGTAAATTTGTATGATGCATGATGGCTTTCAGGAGAATAATCACTACTTTTATCTTGTCCATATGTTGATGGAATGCGCAAAGTTTTTTGTTGCTCTACTTCTTGGCCTTGAAAGAATTGTTTTTGTATTGTAATGGGTTGGAGTACCTCTTGTACTCCTTATTTTATATATATATATATTCCTTTTATTGTGCCAAAAAAAAAATGCACATAGACAAGGGATAGAAGACAACATTTTCAAGGTAAGTTTTTCAATTAATTTGTAGGTGGTAGGGAAAGGAGAAGGATTGAAGGGATGAAGGCAGTGGAGGTAAAGTGACTTTGGGAATGGTATGCAAGGATGAGAGGATGCTGGGAAGTGGTGGTGGAGCACCAAGCTTGGGTAGGGAAGGCTGAGGCAAAGATGGTTGGTTAGGGGGGATTATGGGAATGGTGAGCTAAGACGGAGATGGTTGGAATTGTGGGTTGTTGTGGTAGTGTTGGGATAGATGGCAATGGCGGAATTGTGGGAAAGGAGGTGGTGTTGGTCTATCGAGCATGGCTAAAGGTATGGATGAACTAGTAGATATGTTGGAATTTGGACTATCTTTCTTGGCTATAGGTGAAGCAAGCATGTTTCTGGCAAAAAGAGGTGTTGGGGTGGTTTCGCTGATGATGGTAAATTTAGAGTACCAACCGCATTGGTGTTTTAATGCATTCAAACATAGGAGGTGCAACAACAATGTTGGAGTGATTTTTGAGTTGTTATCCCTACAAATTCAAACTAAAATCTATTGGTTGAAGGAGAAATCAAGGAATTGACAAACTTGTGCATATTTTGCTAAAACATTCCACAATTAAAGATTTTTGAAATTTTTATACTTTAGATTAAGGGTTTTGATGGTTAATTAAGAAATGGATTTTTTTTTTTATTGAATTACTTCCTTTTAGTTTCTAGGTTTTTAGTTTTGTGTTTTTGGTATTTAAAAGTTGCTTAAGATTTCTAGGGCTAACTCGGGCCACTAATTTGTTTTGTTTGAGAACATTATAACAATAGCCTTGGTTGGGTCTTAGTGGGATTTGGGGGTGATAATATATGATGTACTGCCGTACCCTTGCTTTCATCTTCTATCAATGACATTATTTGCTTTTCTCATCAAAAGTAAATAAATAAATGCACGTAAATATAATAAAAACCCTTATGTTTTCACCTAGCCACATGGATGGTTTTGTACATCCAAAGGTAGTGTTCTCTTCCACTTACTAGCATTTTATCGTTGTTTGGTTTTCCTCTCTTTGTTGTTGATGGTTTGTACATGCTACCTTTTGGTGTTGCTTTTTACCTTTGGGAATGGAGGCTAGTGCCGCTTTGGTGTGCGGGTATTGTCTGTGTGACAATAGGGGTTTGTTTCGTTCTATAGTTTGTTGGATGTAGTCTTGCTAGTTGCTATTGCTAACAACACCTTTAGATTCTATAAGCGTGGTGGTAAGCCTTTATTTCAAACCCTTTGGTGTATGAATGGTTAAGGCCTCCTTAGTCTTTTTAGCTTTAGATGGACATCATAAATGGCTCCTTTTTTTTTTTTACAACAAAAGGAATATATATATAAGAAATAGTATTTATCCGCTTTACTTCCTCAAGATTAAGAGAAACATTATTTTAAAATTATGTCATTTTAATAAACATTAATCGAAAAAGATTAAAATATCTTATTTTTAAAGCATAAATGAGGGTGTTTTTTTGTTATTTTTTCTCTTAATTTTTTAGAGATAAAACGGATAAACACTAATCTCATATATATATATATATATAAAATAAGGAGTACGATGATACTCCAAACCATTACAATACAAACAATTCTTTGAAGCCCGAGAACTAAAGCAGGAAGAAACTTTGCCCATTCCATCAACACAGGGACAAGATAAAAGCAATGATTATTCTTTTTAAAGCCATCATGCATCATACAAATTTACCCAGTCCTGCAACAATGCCAGTTTATTTGCTCCATTTATCTTTCAAGCATTCCATAGGGTCCAAAATCCAATTGCATTTATTAAAAGAATACACTAGTGATCTGCTTTTTATCCAATGAAACGTAAGCAACTGCACAAGTTCAAAAATCTCACTGATATCCTGCTCATGATTTTTGAAAATCCTTTGATTCCTAGTAACCCATAGAGACTAGATTGTTGCAAACCATACTGCATCCCATCCTACCCTGACATTTAAATCTTTAAAAAAGGATAAATGTTGCTCAAATAATGCATAACGGTTGTCAGCCCTTACCGAGGTAAATGGCTCCTGTGTTTATCAACAAGAGATGCTTATGGAGTGCTAGATGCGTGATTTCAATAAGGCTATCACAAAAGGATGGGGCCTCTTTGTGATGACAATCTTTTAGTCCTCGGGGCAGGGAGGTAAAATTTAGTTGCTTAATTTTTTATTTCCTCTCCCCCGTATCTAGATGGATTATGTTGGCTTGCAAGTAATCTCGATCGCATTTCTACTCACAGTATCAAGCTGTAGTCCTCATATATGTGATGATTTTTTCAATTATATTACTCCTTTACTAGGAAAAAATGTGTATGTAAATTCCTTGATTATTTTTTCATCAGCAAATTCAGAAGCAAGTGTATTGCATTTTTCGGGTTCCTAACTGTAACTCATAATCAAGATTTAAATTTGATGATATATGGATTATTTTGGGTGCAATTACATGAAAAATAAACTGGGGGAAATTAAAAAATTTGGGCTTAATTTATCAACTAAAAGATTAATCGCAAAAAATAATATGAAATTAGTATTTATTAATCAAAATTTTAAAAATTTATAAAGAAAAAAACTTTAAAATTACATCTTTTTAGTAAAGAATCACAAAAAAAAAAAAGAAAAAAAAAAAGAAAAAACAATTTCATTCATACATTAAAAAATGTTGTTTTAGTCTTTTAATAAAAATTTATTAAAATAACATAATTTTAAAATATTTATTTCTTAATATTTTAGGAGTCTAATAGATAAATATCTTTTTTCTTCAAATAATGTTCGTCTTCTTTCTTTTACTTAGCTTGCTTCCTCTGTTCCATTAATTTTCAAACATAAAATGAGCTGAAACATTAAGGATAGTGCATATCAATCATGATTTTATAGAGTACTAATTTAAAAACACGATCATGCAATGAACATTTTGAAAACTAATTATTGGAAAATAATCTATTTATATATGTGTAAATTTTTATATTGATTTAATATTTATAATTAAAATAAAAATTTAATTTATTAATCTTTAAAATAAAAAATAACAATTATGATGTAATTAATGCTTTTTATCCTGTGCATTGACCCTTTAATTAATATCAGCTAGTAAGCTTACTTACAGAGGTACCTGTAAAATTTGCGGCCCCCGCAGCCACCGTCACTGGCACTGCAATGGCTACTCTCTCCACCAGCCACCCGCCACCCGCCACCGCAATTAGTTCAATACCTAACCCTGATTCCCTACCCCTCATGGGCCTAGCTTTGTCCCAAATCGAAGCTCCAACCCTCCCCCTCTGCTTTCCGGCTTTCTTCCCTTTCATCTTCAATGAGTCTGCCGCGTCCCATTGCCAGACCTTCTCACGCCCTTTCTACAACGATCACCAGCCCCATCCGTCACCGCCTTCCTGGTCTTCTCTCCGTCCCCAAACCACCCCCTTCTTTCTCTCCTTCCATCCTGATACCCTCGTAAATCGCTCCATCATCTCCACCCTCAAATGCATCCCGCAGATATATAAGGTATTTTCTTGTTTTCTTTCTTTAATATCTATTTTCTCCTTGACTAGCAGAAGGGAAATACACTGTACCAGAAAAGAACACAAGAAAAGTACAAATTCAAGTTTTTTTTTCTTTGTTTTCTTCACCTTTTTACATGATTGATATTAAATTAGCTGTAAAAGTTTCTGCTTTTAGACAGTTGTTCTTGATAAATTGTTTAGCATTCCTTCACCAAGAATTGGTTTGAAGACTTTGTTTCGTCTACACTCTAGAGTGTCAAATGTCAATGCCTGTTTTTATGATAATCAGAAGGTTGCTAAATAGCTTTTGAAGCTGTTTGTGGGGAAGGGTATCTCCATCCCTATTCCCTTCCATGCGAAGAAGTTCTCTTGACAAGGCTTCTTGGCATTGTGTTTTTGTTACTAAAATGATTGTAGCGTTTCATTATCTTGGTTGATGATATTGATTTTTGGATGGAAAATGTTTAAGAGACAACCTTTTTGTATAATAAGTGTCATTTAATGATTAGCTTTTTTCACTCAATTGGGATATGTTATATTATATGCATCCACTCATTTATGAATGTGAAACTTGTATAAAAAGGTTGTCTCCATATCATTACCCTTTTATGATTGCTGAATTCTCATAATCTCGGCTTCCTTAGAGGGATCACTGGAGGCAGTTATGGAATATCCCATGTTAAGTGCTCTATTGACATTTCCCCTCATTTATAACAATATTGAACAGATTATTGATTAAAAGATTATTGATGATTGTAACAACACTGAACAAATGTTTTCAGGTTAGCTGACCAGGAATCTCCCTCATTACCTGTGGTGTCATTAGATTTGGAAACCAATAGTGACATGGCAGGCTCATGTGATTCCTTTGTTAAGTTTGAATCAGAAGTCATGTTGATACAGCTCCAGGATATGTTGTGAGGTAAATATTAAAACAGGATAATGTTGATGGTGATGTACAATCAGATTTGGTTGGCTATATGTGCCCTACCTGCAAGGCTGAAATCCTGAATAACTCAATGCTCAGATGGTGGCTGAACCATAAACTCTTAGCAGCTTCGATGAACTTACGCACCTCAGTTTGAGAACAAGAATTTTGGGATGTGAGGTAATTCTCATTTCTAATCATAAAAATGTAATTTCAGTTGGTTTATAATTTCTGTCCATTGCTAAAGAGGGCTTGTGAGTATTTGTGCCAATGTGAATGGTTGTGGTTCAGAAATCAGAGTCTTCTAGTTTCTTTTCCTCTAATAGAGCATGATTTCTTTAATGATTACATTAAACTTTGAAGGCGTAGAATGTTGTTGGACAAAGGCAAAAATAATATAATACCTTGTTTAGTTAACATGAGGTTGCATTTTCTTTCACACATGCAACATGCCACTCATAGTATAAATGTTACTCTGAGCAGAGATGCTACCCTAATTAGTTAATCCATGCTTTTTTCATTTTAACATTTTTTGGATGAATCTTTGTCTTCTATAAGTGGTAGGTAGCTCCTAGCTTTGTAGGAAAATTATTCTGTTTAATTTTTTTTTTTTTTCCTTTTCTACCATACAAATATTGTGCACTGAGAGATTTGATGCTTAAATCTTTCAAGATCCCTAATTAGTAGACCAAAGTCTGATTGAAGGTGTTGGATTTAGATTGATATCTTAAGGATGCTTATCCTTCTTTTTCTCTAAAGATACTTCTTCCGATTCACTTAGCAATTTTGTTGAGAAAGGAATTTCTAAAGATATTGACTTCTTCTGTTTTGTGAGGCAATATGAAGTGGGAAAAGAATTGAAACTGGATTAAATCTTTTGAGAATCAAAATACTGGAATTGTTGTGTGTGTCTTAATCTGAAAGATAAGGGGATAACTTGATAAGACATTGAACTTGGAAGTTGAAATCATTTGATCTATCCAAAGATAAATCTTGCAAAATGCTTTCTATCATAATATAAGTCTAGGAGGTAAGTAATGACATTAATTAAGGATAAAGAATTTGAGAACACCGAATATGATATTGATAGAACAACAATAGAGCACATGTTATTTTACTATATTCTTTTCCTTTTTTCTTTTTTGTGTTCTTCCTTTTATCACACCCACCTCAAACCAACAAGAGAACAACAAGGGAACAAGTGTTAATTTACTATATTGTATACAACAACGGAGTTTCAAACCTGGTTACCGTATGTATGCCATTAGTTAATGAGAAGAATATATAACAGCTAAGTCAAAAGGCACACACAAAGTGGGAGTTTTGATCTATTATGAAAGCAGAAAGCATCTAATTCTTTCCTTCTATAAATAATATGTACATAAAAATTACGAAAACAAGAAAAAGAGAGTGCACTTTTTCTTTACCATTCCAAAACAAAAGGATTCTAAAATAATTTACTGTCAACTTTATTGACTAAATAGGAAAATGAGGATGAGTAACTTAGTAAGGTTCTTTAATTCCTTTGTAGCCAAACATATAGCATTCTTCTTTTGGACGACAAGAGTAAAAAGCAAGGAATAATTCATCTTGCTTTTGGGTCTTATTTCCTAAACAATCATCAGCATTTTTCTTAAGCATGCTTCGGATCAATTCTCTCTTTCATTAATTGTTCTTTCTTCTAAGTTTTATATGGAAAGTAGAATCACTTGCATTAGTTGTAATCAGATATTTTCAGTATCACCATATGCAAGAACAGAGGTCTGGTGTCCAGCATGTAGACAACTTAACATACTGTATCAAGGAGTGGATGGCAAGTTCAGCACTGCTAGTTCAATTCGGGCTAATCATTCTAAGATTAGGAAGAAAATAAGTGGCAGTTCTAGTCACCACCTGAAGATTGATACGTCTCCTTTACCTTTAGCCTCCTCTTCCAGCCAATATCTGAGAAAAAGGGCGGTACTTTGTGGAGTAAGCTATAAGAATTGCAAACACAAGCTTAAGGGGACTGTAAACGATGCCATGAACATGAAACATTTTTTGAAACATCACTTTGATTTTCATACTGACCAAATTCGCCTGCTTACAGGTACAAGAGTTACATAGTATTATCTCACATTGATTACATCTGAAGTTTTTCATATGTTGCTTTTAATCATTTATTATATTTTGGTATTTGGAAAACCAAACTACAGAGGAAACTGATCAACCAGACTTGATACCGACAAAGAAGAACATTGAAAAAGCGCTGAGCTGGCTTGTGGAAGATTGCCAGTCAGGTGATTCACTGGTGTTCTTTTATTCTGGGCATGGATTAAGGCAACCAGATTTTGATAATGATGAGATTGATGGGTTTGATGAAACTATTTGCCCTGTTGATTTTGAGAAGGAAGGAATGATTGTTGATAATTACATTAATGACACCATTGTTCGGCCCCTGAAGGCAGGTGTCACTCTTCATGCCATTGTTGATGCTTGTCATAGTGGAACTGTTCTCGATCTTGTGCATGTTTACAACAGACACCGGTAAGTTTTGTTCATTTCTATTCCAGAACATTTTTTGTCTGTCCAACTTTGTACTATATAACAGTGATAGCTCTATCATCTCCTAAATCCAAGAACTTTTATTAGCCTTAAAGAACTTAAAAACCACTCTTAACAATATGGCAAAATTCTTGCTTGGGTTCAGGGGACAGTGGGGGGACAACAGCCCTCCATCAGGTGTTGATAAAGGTACAAGTGGTGGATTAGCAATTTGTATCAGTGCTTGCGAAGATGATCAACTTGCTTCTGATACTTCTGTATGAAAATTCTATTCATCGAATTCCAGACATGATTTTTGTTTATTGAACCAAAATATATATTAACTCAATATATATGACTTTAATTAGATCAGTATTGCAGGCATTTGGGTCGAAGATGAATGGGGCAATGACCTTCCTTTTAACAGACGTTGTCAAGTCACATTTGGGAATAACATATGGGAACTTACTTGACAAAATTTACAAACGAATTGAGGAAGTTAATCGACAAGGGTGCATTAATAAATCCAGATTTCTAAGAAAATTGTGCAAGACTACTATCACACAGGTAAAACTCCTTATAAAAGAAGACAATTTGCTTTTGAATTCATTGATGCATATAATAAAGTAAGGCATATGCTCGACGCATATGATAGAGTAAGGCATACGCTTATGGAATTGAATTTTCTTTTTCTTTTTTTTCTTTCTTTCTTTTCTTATTAATGTTTGCAGAAGCCTCTACTTTCATCTTCTGAAGAGTTTGATGTTTATAAGAAGCAATTTAGACTGTAATTCTACGTGCATCCAAGATAACTTAAAGTGGCAATGTGCTACAGATGCAAGAGCATCTAAAACTATAAGCTCTATATCACTTCAAACCTTTGAAGAATACACCGTGTTCCAACTACCAAGCATACTTTTCTTGGCAAATGGGATGAATGTATCACGCTCGTGGCGAGGAACGTCGTATTCTCCAATCATATAACTTAGTGTGTTGGCCTGTACTTACATAAACTGCATGTCATCGGCGTGCAAGACTGTAAGAGGTGAATAGAAATAATACTATTTCTCAAAGTTGCCCAGAATCATTCTCTTGGTCCATGTATCCATCAGCTGAGTAAATTTCTCTGCAATCAGGATAGGGAAAAAGCTTAATAGAACAGTAGGAAATTAAAAATCTAAGTCTCACAGACCAGTCTTGTGGAAGTACCAGTCATTAAGTGGTATATAGATGTCTCAATCACTAATAAACGTGAGTGTGAACTTTTCAGAATAATGTGAATTTTAATTTGAAGAGTTGCTTGCTCGGTAGAGGCTATAACCCCTGCACTAACCACGTATTAGTTGCGTGGTATTGCCCACATTTCGGTCTACTTTTGTTCCTGTTCACAATTGGGCAAACAATTAACAGGAAGGAAAGAATAAAGAAAGCCGAAGCAGCCAACTTGTTTAGACAAACAATTGGAAGAACTAGTTGTTATTCCACATCCTACACGAGGGAATACGATTCTGTATAAAGAAAATATATTTGCTTTGCTATTATTGCTTTGTTTTTTTAAATTATATCATATGTACACCTTCCTCCTTCCTCCTTGGTAAAGAGAAAGAACGTATGATAGATCGTGCATGTGCTGGGATTCGCTTATGTGCTGGGATTCGCTTTTGATATACAAATGCTGCTTATTCAATCTCCAATCCAATCTCATTAATTTCAATTCTTATTTCCTTTTCCTTTTCCTTTTCCTTTTTCTTTCTTTTAGGCTATGGACATTTAAGAAATCACATGGTTTTGAGTACCTAGTGCAAATCTCATGTAGTTATGTGGACACAAAATGATAGGCGGCAGGCTAGGTGCACATTTTAAAACTTGGAGTGGTTACGTGCACCAACCAAAACTGCATTTCACCCTATATTAATCTATATACATGGGCTACTATTTACAAACCAAAGGAAAATATTCAATGAGTATGAAACTATTTATTTTTTGTTCGACTGGTTTAACTAATACCACCACCATTATTTTAACCCACGATGACATTTCAAGTAAAAATTAGTTAGAAAATATAATCAAATCTAGTAACATTCTTTGTTATAGGAAATGCAAGTTTGCAGCTGACCATAATCTCTATATAGATTAAAACCAGGCATGGAAGAAGCTACGGTATGTAGCACTGGGCTTGCAGGCAGTTATGAACACATAACTATTACAAAAACAATCGTAATAGACACCATAACAGAACTACAAAGCGGAAAGATTCCTTTTGGAAATGTTTGAACCCATGCAAAAGTCCAACTGTCAGGCTAATACTCAAGTTCACCCCTAAAATTAGACAGTAGGAACAAATTTAATCCCGAACAAAAAATAAAAATAAATTCAATCATAAAGTTTTTAATTTGAACAAATCACTTTAAATTTAACGTGATATCATTTGACGTCAACAATTCATTAATTTATTACATCACTGATGTTAGCAACTAGTTAATTTTTAATGAATTTCTGACGTCAGATGACATCACACATTAAATTTGAAGTGATTTGTTTAAGTTGAAATCTTTGTAGGTGGATTTGTTTCCGTTTTTTGTCCAGGAATGGATCTATCCTATTGCCTAACTTTAAGGGTGAGTTTGAGCATTCTACCTAGTCTATTATATTTTTTTTTTCATTAAATAGTCCATTCTATTTTTTATTTTTTTTGTAGATTACACAGAACATAAGATTATCTTATGTAGTCATTACATCTTTATAATGCAAATATTTATTAAGCAAATGTGATTTTTGCTGATTAAAAAAATGTAAATAGCTAACTTGTGATATATTAAAAAGTTTTGTTATTGTGACTCAGTATATTAAATAATTTTCACTATTAATCTTTGATCCATAATGTATATCCAGGGAAAAGTTCTTGGATAATTTATACGTGCGTGTGATTTAACTTCATATGACTTCATATATTATATAGTCTTCATCGGTTAAATTTAAGATTTCCTTTCGTGGCACTTTAAATCTTATGTATGGAAGAAGTGTAATTGCTAGTGGTGTCTGTAATCTAGCATGAAGAAATTAAAAGTAAAATTCTTCTTTTTTTCTCCGCTATCTCCCCATTCCTTTAGTAATTAAATAAAAGAATTGTCTCTCCCCCATCCCCTTTCCTCCCCGCAAACTAAATATACTCTTAGGGTGTTCTTGAGTTATCTTGTCAGTAGAAAAACCAAAAATGTGGGGGGCAAAATGAAACTTGGTTAATAAACAGTGCATTTGTCCATCAATGGAATAGTTAATTTGAGGGGGAAAATTAAAAAAATATATATTTAGACAAACATATGTTTTTCTTCAATGATAAATTAATAGTGATCAATAGAGGACCAAAAATGAACATATATATTAAGTAGAAGAATTCTAATGAAGAAAAAAGAGAAGTAAAAGATATTAATGAGAAAACCCTTTGTAAAGGATGATAATGAACAATTTTTTTTATTCAAATAATTTTCTTTTTCCTCGTTTTTCAGATTATATTTAGTTTCCTCATCTTTATCATCATCACCAAAAGTAATTTTCAATAAGAAACTAAGAAAGGACTAAAATAGTATTACTTCTATCCCAAAATGACTATCATTTTTGTATTTTGAATTTGTCTAAAATTAATTGTCATTTTTTTATTTTTTAAGATAGAATAATATTTTTTCCTATTTTAACTTTATTATTATTCATTTACATTTGATTAATTATTTTATCACAAAAAGTTTCATTTTATCTTTTAACTTTTTTTTTAAAGTAATATAAATAAATATATAAATTGTTTCTAAATCCTTAATTTAGAGAAAAAGTTTAAAACAACAGTTATTTTGTGATAGAAAGAGTATAAAACAAAGAATTTATGGATAAAAAAGATAAATATAAAATTTAAGGGACCAAACTATCTTTAATTTAATAGAAAAGTAGTTGAGAATCCTTTTCTAATTTTTCCACTATCACACGAGCACAAGGGACCTGGGGGCTAGGCCCATCTCGCCCCTCCAATGTATCTTGAGCAAGGCTAATTTTTCATTGGATGATCTTTAAGGGTACTCCATCGATGCATACTCCATGTACACTCAAAGAAATTGATTTTTGAGTGTGTTGAAGATTTTTATTTTGATTTATTATATTTTTTATATCTTAATTCATCTCATTTATTCAAATTTAAAATCTCTTATGTTTATAAAAAATAAATTGTTTTTTTGTCTCTTTCTTTTGTAAGTGGCAAGGAATAGAGAGAATAAAGATCGTACAGTGGTAGATGATATTACTTTAATTAGACCGTGTGAATCTTTTGTAATGACATTGCTTTAGATCATCTGTGCCGTTCGCTCATGTTTAAAATGCATACACACTAGGTACATCGATTATAAGCTTCTTCGCCTTTTCCTCTTTTTTCTTTTTTCTTTTTTAAGTTCGGCATATCCGCATATATGAGCTTCTAATTTTTTTTTTAAAGGATTCGAATTAATTGTATTGGTGTTAGAATCAACTATTGCTAATAATTTATGAGAAAAGAAAAGAAAAGAAAGAAACAAACTATTGCTAACAATTTAAATTTAAACTTTTAAAAATTATATGAATCACAACTTAAAAAGTTATTTAGTAGAGATTTTTACTTAGTTGTTTCAATTGATATCAAAATAATTATCCTTTACAGGTGTAAGAACATGCCAAAAACTAAAGATATGTTTCGTTTGAGGAAAATAAAATAAATAAAGAGAATATACGCACATTATCTGATAGCTTAAATAATATAGAAAAAATCAACCTCCATCGAAGTTATCTTCACTATTTGGATAAAGAAGACGGTTTTTCTTTCATTTCTCTTTCCTCCCATCCCTTCCCTCCATTTTCCGTAGCTCAAACATACACGTTCTTAATGTGTGTCCTCTAAAAGATCGTTTACAAAGGTAAGAAAGGAATGGTGGTGGCATGGACGGCCTTCCACCATTCCTTCCAAAATTCCATATGTTCAAAAAGAAAAGTATATATTAAAAATCTCTAGATTACAAATTTAGAAAAGGTAAGGGAATAAGTATCCTACTCATTTTTCTGCCTCTTCTTTTTGTAAGAGCCTTACAGAGCGTCAAATCTTCCCAAATTCCAACTTTACATTTCCTTGTTATTGATTTATGATATCAGAAACACTCCTAATATTGGTAAACGGGGTAGAAGGCACAAGTAAGTGGATTTGGAATTACTGTATAGTATTTTAACTATAGTTTATATTACATTTTGATTATTATTGAAAAAAATAGCATTATACATCAATATAATTATTTAAGAAAATAATTGGTATACCTTCGATTCAACACATTTTGTGACACACTCTTGATTTAGTCATTAAAAATATAATATAAATACAATTAATTCAATTAATTTCTCTATTTTGTGTGCATAATTATATCATTAAACTTGTTTGTCTTTAATTTAAGACTAAAAATTAGTTATTTTTTAATAAATGTGTTACACAATGTATTGAACCAGAGTGTGTATCAATAATTGTCCATTTATTTAAATATACAAAATATTAATTAAAAATTAATTTAATTATACTGTAACAAATTAACATTTTTAGCGGTGCATGCAAAAAAGACTAGCAATCTTAAACACAAACCTATATTTATATATTGGAATGACAACATGATACCCACGATGAGAAAACAAAGATTTCAATTCGCCAATCAAGCAATCAATTTATAAATATGTCCACGTATTGGCTTACAGCAATATTATAATAAAAATGGAACGTCTACTAACTTGCACTAACCAAACAATCAATTTATAGAACTTGGGGAATCTGTAGCACAATTATATATTTCAAGAGTGCTGCTCAATCGAGTAGTATACTTCGAAACCATCTTCCTTCCCCACTGAGTCCTGACCAAATTACGTTCTTCCTTTTGCAACAATGGAATATACAACCATCCTTTCATGTCCTCGGTGCAGCAAAACAGTAAGAGTGAAAAAAAAGAGCAGATCAATTTACTGCTCAACATGCAAAAGTTTGGTTTCTCTTCCAGATGATTGTGAACAGCAGCTGATCCAAGCGCCGAGGCCACAACAGCAGCAGCAGCGTCGGCACCATATTAGATGTTCAGTTGCCCATTTGATAAACAAGACGCAGGGAATTTCAATCTCAAGAGATTATAGTAGTACTTCTGCTGAATCCTTAAATTTTCCAGTGGAGTTTCCTCTTGGGAGACGATCGAAAAAGCGTGCGGTGCTCTGTGGAGTGAGTTATAAGAACTGGAAATACAATCTTAAGGGAACGGTGAATGATGTGAAGAACATAAGGGATTTGTTGATGAGTAAATATGGTTACCCCAAGGAATATATTCGTGTACTTACAGGTATGGATTTTTCATTTTTGCTTCACAAAACCTTTACGAAATAAAAAGTAGCTTTAAAAAAGATGCATGAGCTCACGCATACATTCCTATCCAAGCATGCATTTAGAATTATATTAAAGCATGCATATGGTTAAAAGTTATGTCATGCTCCAATATTCACCCTTATTGGAAAGGGAATGCAAGCGTAATTGTGGGTGATATATACACAATACAACCAACTATTATTAATGATTTGAGCTTTCTTTTTAAGACCGTGCATGTGAACCCAGTCTTCAAAACTTGTTAGCCCAGGGCTTCTTAGGCGTAAGAACCAAGTGGCCTAATAAAGAATTTTTTGGACATATATTAAAGCTTAAATTCAATTGTTACTAGTAGCGATTTTAATTGGATTGTAACAAAAAATTGATAATTAGAGTAGAATCTGTTGCAATTAACATGAAGCTTTTTAAACTACAGAAGAGGAACCAGACCCACGATATATTCCAGCGAAGGCAAACATACTGAGTTCCTTGATATGGCTGGTGGGTGACAACAAGCCAGGAGACTCACTGGTCTTCTTCTACTCTGGACATGGTTTGCAGCAACCTGATTTTGAGAATGATGAACACGATGGATTAGACGAAACTATCTGTCCATCTGATTTCTGGAAAGAAGGCATGATTGTGGACAATGATCTTAATTCAATCTTGGTTTATCCACTAAAAAATGATGTAAAACTCCATGCCATTTTTGATTCTTGTCATAGTGGAACTATTCTAGACCTACCACATATGTACGACAGAAAAAAGTAAGTGTGATAATCTCATTTTAAGCTAGTAATTTTTTTTATTGGTAGATTACACAAGCAAAGGTAAATTTCTCCAATCTAATTTTTAATTTCCCAATGTTTGATAATATTCAGAAAAAGGTGGATAGATAACAAGCCTCCTTCAGGTGATTACAAAGGTACAGTTGGTGGATTGGCTATCACCATCAGTGCTTGTACAGATGGTGAAAAGGCTTCCGATTCCACAGTAAGAATATAATAGATAACTTTATATTTTGTGAACAGAAAACTGTTTTTCAGTCCAGATTGACATTAAATTTTGTTTATGATAATATTGTATTCATTTGTTGTTCTTTTTGCTTTTCTGATTATAATTAACTTATGAATGCAGGCTTTTACTGGAAAAATGAATGGTGCTTTAACCTACCCCTTGGTAGATCTTCTAAAGAAATTTCCCGGTCCAACGTATGGAGACCTGTTTGATTTAATGGAAGATACCTTCTACAAAGTTAATTACCAAGGAGGCAATATCTTGAAGAAAATGTTCAGTAGCAAATTATCACAGGTCAGCTTTCCTTTAGACTAAAGTTAAAATTTTCATTATTAATTCTATGGTATTGCAGTGTTAATTTTCATCTCGTTATATTTTGTTTAAAATTTTGCAGACACCATTACTTTCATCTTCTGAAGAGTTTGATCCGTATAAAATACACATAGAACTATAACCAAAGCTAGCGGGCAGAAGGTTATCTTTAAAATAAAGTCTGTCTTGTGCATCTCCAGATTTTATTTGAAGTTTGTTAGCACAAATGCAGTAAAGTAATAAATAATTTTTTTATCAGCAGATGAAAATTTATTAAAATGGGAACGCATAACAAAGGTAACTCAACACTACAAATCTCAAGCTCTCACGACATGAGCATCGCTTATTTTAACCCTTATATCAAAATAAAATTACGTTGCCAATAATAAAAGTATGTCTTTGAATAGTTGATATCTATGATCTATCCATCAAGTCATTCACTGTGCGGCCATTGAATTTGGCACTCCCTTTTTAAGAGAGGAATCCCTCCAGTCCTGGCTTATGAGACATGGATTAATTATTAAGCCTTGAAACAAAAAGAATCCACCAGTGAGGCATTTGAACAAACACTTGCCATGCGGGGGATGGAGAAAATTTTTTTAAAAATAAAAAAAATAAACTAAAAAATTCTTCTTCTTTTTTTATTCCTCAACAAAAAAAAAAAAAATCACAAATTTTCTCCAATCCTGAAAGCATTGGATGCCCAAAAGCTACAAGTCTCTTTCAAACAAGGGATCTTCTATAGTAAGAGCACTGGACTTGCATTTATTTTTTATTTTATTTTATTTTTTTTGGTATGAATGTGATGGTATATATGCTAGCACTACTTGAATTTGAGTTGCTCATGCTAGCTTAGTTACTAAGCAATTTGAACTTTCTTTGTTGATATTTTCTAATTTGGAATTTCTTTGAAGAAAAGAGATGAGAGGTAGAGAAGTTGACATCCCATATGTGAATGCCAAAAATTTTTACACAATAAAATTCATTAATTAGAAATTTAATTTACCAAATTCAAAATTTAATAAGAGAATACTGTTCTCCATAAAGCAATGTAATAACAAAGAAAATCAATTTATTTAGTCACAATTAAAACAAAATTTTAATTGGCAATTGTCCTTTATCCCAATATATACCATGTAATTTTAAATTTTTAATAAACTTCTCCCAACTCTATTTCAAAAGGGAAATGACTATACTTTTTGGGATTGGGGACTATAAATTTTTATCTCGCGACTTACAAACACTTTTGCTTTTTGAATTTAATAAATAACACATCTCCTGTGGCCAAAAAACTGCATACCTCCTTTCTTGGTTCTTTGATCTTCATGTTTTCTGATCTTTTAATACTTTCCTTTTTCATCGCTGCTGCCTTCTTTTCTTCCACTTTTATCCTTAGTTATTGCCTTTCTCCCCTGAAGTGGCTAGGGAGGATGAATAAAAGTGAAAGTTTCTCCCTCTAAGGGTTCTCTCTCCTTTGTGGGAGTTTCTTCCTTTTGTGGGATTTTTGTTAGGGCTCTCTCAATGGTTTTCATTGGATTTTGCCCTAGGTTGAAGAGGATGACAATGTGATGGTGACTCTCCTCTAGGTTAATTCGAGCAATGGATTCCAACTCTCCCCCAAACTAGTGTAGATCCTCACTCAACGTTAAGTGGATGGGGACTGTTGTTTGTCAAATTACTTGCTCTCGAAGTTTGACATGGTAGTTGAGAGAATTTAACAACTTCAAATATGTGCCAAGGCTTTTTTTTTTTTCTACTTATGTAGCACTATAGTGATTCCAATGCAATCTCTATGTTTAGGTGACTTTGTGCACTTTTTTTTTTTTTATGAGAAATAGAGTTTCATAGATGTATGAAAACCATAAGGGTTACAAGACCAACTCAAATGAGATAATATGCCAAACATATTATACTCATAAATGAGTGAAAACACAAAATCAAGTAATCTAATGCCTACATGAATATTGCAATCAAACCCAAACTCAAGATTTAATAGTTAAGTTGCATTCTAACATAATCCATCTAGATATGAGATAATTGATTCTAGGATAGAAAAATTTAGCAACTAGGGTTGCCATCCCTAACCAGGCCTTCAACAATCAAAGCAATTACAACAATCAATCTGAGTCCAACTAATATCATGTTCAAGCATCCTCCTCCAACAAAAGTAAATACCAATAGGAAGTATTCAGAAAGTCAAGACAAAAACCCTTAAAAAAGAGGGAGAACCTCCATTACAGAGGAGAGAACACCCACCTTTAGCCATCCACTCTAACTATCGAGGGGGGAAGAGGGAGGGATGGTTAAAGGGAAGAAGAAAACAAGAGGATGAGGAGAAAATCAAGGCAAGAGTAGGGAGGGGATGGTTCTTCACACTTAATTGTCCTTACAAGTATCTAGGCATAACTTTCATTTATATATATATATATATATATTTAGTGTTATGGATTATACCTTCAACTTAAGTGCCTTTATATATGAATTCATATTGAATCTTTTTTCGATTAATAGAACATCTCTA